AAACTGAAATACCGCCATTTGCAAAGCAGAAGAAGAGCTCTAAATCCGGCGAAGCAAAGAAGGCGATTGGAGATCTCCGAAACAAGAAGTTTGATGAAATCACCTCTTCTTCTTAGGCGCCGGTGGACAGGTCAAAATCTCCGGTATCCGAAATCTCTGAGCTTTCGGTGTGGAGCAGGCACTTGTAGTAGAGACATCGTCAACAGCTTCCAAATCATCTACGCCACCTTCAATCTTCGGAGCATCGTTGCAGACCACGGAAGATGAATTCCAAGGCGAAGTCGTCGGAGTTGCAATATCTTGACGAGTAGTAGTCTTTGGCCGGCCAAGCTTCTTCTTGAAATGAGTTCTTGTTTTTGCCTCTCTTGTCGTTTTTGTCTTTGATCTTGTTCTTGCAGACGGAGTCATTGGTTGAAAAGAGCAAAGAAGAATTGGGGAAGGATTTGAAGGTGGCCAAGAAGCAAGAGAGAAGAAAAAAAAACTTCAACAAACAAGTACAGAAAAACTAAACCCTATATATTGGATGCTTTATAAAGCAAGTAAAATTTGACTGGAAAAGTGTCCAAAAAGCTTAAAATGATCAAACACGCCTTTGGAAACAAAGCCTTTTCAATCAAACCTTACAACTACCTACCACTTCAAGAAACCCCACTAAGCATGGAGACTGCAACTCAGACAATTTCTGACACAAAAGGAAAAAAAAGACACAAAAACAAAATTAAACCTGATATATTTTTTCAGATGTAGAAGAAGAAGAAAAAAAGCAATCTGGTTAATTAGCAGTAATACTAAAAACCCTGGCTACTAATTTTGGAAGGAAAAAGGAACACAGAAGATAGAGAATTATTGGAGTGAATAAGGTAAGAGGAGGGGGAAAACCCACCTCTGTAAGAGTTGAAAAGCCCTAAATAAAACCCTAGAAAAAGGATGGAGGGGGACGAGAAGAGGCGGGATCTAACACTTACGAATACATATGTTGCTGGTAGGGCTTTATATTGATTGAGAAGTTGAGAGATAGATAATTTGGGCAAAGGCTGCCCGCTGCCCGAAGCAAAGCCCAGAAACAGAGGCGGTAAGGGGACAAAAACTAATGTTATTCGTATTATATTTTTGTACCACATTTTTATATTATCTTAGGTGATATTTAACGTGGACAGCTACATTATTTGAATTAATTAAATTTTTAAATTTAGTTCATTATTTAATAAACTAATAATTAAGAAAAACTAGTTAGTTAAATGATGATTGTGGTATACGAGGAGTCTTTCTCCTTCATTTCCTTTGGTTTTGCAAATTTTTCAAATGATTTGGTTGTTCATATCAGATGTCACCTAAAATGATATAAAAATATAGTATGAATAACATTACTTAATCCCTTCCTTATTCATTTTAGTTTTCCTACTTTTAATTCTGTGAACACTATTCCATTTAGAAGAACGAGTAGGTTTCAAAAGTAGATTTTATTTTTTATTTTTTATTTTTATAATAGCAATACAAGGGCAAGGAGAGTCTAACTCAGAAAAATGATCTTAACTAATTAAGTTACATGAAATTCATTTGAAAATACCTTTAAAATGACTGAAAGCGATTTTGGTGAATTTTTTTTTAAATCAACCTTTAGTAAAAATCCAACTAGATCCTGGAAAAACACTTTAAATACTCCATGCAAGAAGCACATATCTAGTGTTTCTTCTAAAAATCACTCAAAGTGCTTCTTCTAAAAAGCACTCAAAGTGCTTCTTCTAACTCAAAATCAATTTCACCAAAAGCGCTTTAAGTTATTTTAAATACACTTCCAAACGAACCTATAGTCTTTTGCGTATAGTTTAATTACAAAAACTTAGTTTGGCTCGTTGTGGATTGTGCTCGGTCGAGCTTGTGTTTAACTCAACTCAACTCATAATCAAGCAAGTACAAATAAACATAATAGAAAGACGTGTCTTAAAAGAGATGTATTCCATAGATATTTTTGTTATCAATCCAAAGAAGGTTAATTATAAGATTAAAATGTCTAATCTCTATGAATTAAGTTTTAATAAACCAGGTGAACGTGAGCTATCTCATAAAAACATACGAGCTGCTCACGGGCTTTATATGAAATATGTCAAAGCTTATCAAGTTCGGCTCAATTTTTGAACAAGCCTAATATTTTGTTTGAGTTCAACCTATTACTTTGATGAACCTAGCTCGAACAAGCCAAAATGAGTCGAAAACTAGTCCCTCAAATTGTTTTGTATCAAGTTGAATTAACCTTAATTTATTTTACCAAAGTTAAAAAGGTATATTTGATATTTTCAAATACAAATTTTGATATATCATCTTCAAACGTTGAGTTTCGAGTTCAAAACCTCTATTTTTTAATTAAATTAAAATATAAATATCGTTTGTATTATTATTTTAATAATAATACAAATAGATCAAATAAAAGTCTAAATTGAAAAAAAATTAGGTCGACCATCAATAATATGAAAACACGGAGATACCCAACTTTTACCTTTTGTGAAGGGATTCAAAATGAAATATGCGAAAATAAATCAAACTAAGGTCTTTAACAAACTTGTTAAAAATGAACAAAAAATATGAGCTAGTTGGCTTAATTATGGGGTGAAGCGAGGGTTACATATTGTATTAGGTTTGGAAATGGTTAAAATATAGATCGCTTCCTCTTCACTTATAAGCAGTTACGAATTTAGGACTCTAAACTCATGGGGTCTCAATGTAAAAACCGCCAAGTGCGTGCAATGCACAAATTTTTCTTTTAATTTTTTCATTAAGGCATTTAGTCGAGCAATTGGTATGCATTATCTACCTGGTTCTATTAATATCTTCCAAGGCTTGATGCTGAGCATCACTTGCCAAGGCGTGTTGCCGAGGCTTGTCCCAAGGCTTGTTGAGCACCAGTTGTTAAGGCCTGCATAATTTTTCCTAAGAGGCATTGCATCAAACAATTTGTGCGTATCCTCCGGCGACCTTCCCCAATGTATTTCTTGAGTTTAGGATCCCGGGATCTAATAGAACCCCTTGGATTTTTTTTACTTACAAGTGAGAGATATTAGATTCAACTCATATGATTGTTGATAATAAATTATTTATGTGTTTAATTCGATATTGATCTAGTTAGTGACTAGCCTGTTGTGTGGGGCTACTCCAATGTGCTTCCCTCTAGAGTAATTTTTACTTACTGTAAGGGAATGAGAATAAATAAGTATGAATGAAAATGAATGGGCCGGTTACCTAAAAAAAAAAAAAAATCTCATTAGCATAGGGAGCTGTCCTATATATAATTTGTATATAATTTGTATTCACCTATGCTTGCAAGTTGTTTGTTTTTGAATTCAGGTTTCCTTTATATCCCACAAATACCTGTAGAGAAGTCAAATCTTATAAATCATTGGGTCAGTATATAAAAAATAAAGCTTAGATCTTTAATTAATAAAATTAACATTTGAATTTCTCTCCCGCCAATCTAAGAAATGAAGCAATATATGTTGATTTCCTTTGCACCCTAGGGATTACAATACAAATATATCAATTTAGAATATGGGCAAGAGCAAGACGAGCAGCTACCCAAGGAGCAGTTAATAGTTTAGATTCTATTCGATTATATATATATATATATATTCGGTAACATTGGAGAAGAAAAAGTACTAAGAAACAACTAATCTAATCGTAGTAACTCTATAATAGTTATCAGAAAGAGTTTGAACTAAATAAGAAGAAAGCTCTGCAAGCTTTTGAAACTCTATGTCACTATTTAAATCAATTTAACTAATCCGTCAGTTATAAAATTAATATATCTATAAACAAACTGCATTTAAATATTCAATTATATATTGATATATGATAGTACTAAATTCATGATTATTTTATTTTCATTAGTTATCTAATTAGGTGATGAATGATGGTCACTCACTGTTTTGTCTGCAAGCCAACCTTTTTTTATTAGGGTTTCTGAGATTGATTGATTCATGCATGGTGGAGCTGCCCCTGCCCCTCTTGTTTTTTCCCCCTTTTTTTATTAGAAATTTTCCAAGACACTTGATGCCAGTATTTTTCAGGGAATCCTAAATGCAGGAATTTAATATTTGTACACGTGTCCCTTTATACTTGGACAAAGTCATGGCATACAAGAAATTTGTTTGGGATTGGTTTTGTGAAATTATGAACATGGGTCAACGGAGTTTCATGTTCATGTTACTATTTAAATATGAATCTTGTTTTTGGAGGTTCCGATGGTATTTTTCTACAGCATACCCTCTTGTGAGACTTTCTTCTAGTTTTGTTCCCTGTTAAGATAAAATGACCTAATGTTATGTTGTAAAACTATCATTCAAATTATAAGCAGCGTGGATTGCATTAGTAGTTAAAGTTTTTATCTCTAAGCAATGTTTCATGTTTAAATCATCGTTCTTTTTTTTTTTTATCTAGCTTAGAATAGTAATAAAAATCTCTCACTCATATTAATCGGGAAACATATCAGATTGTCAAATTAAAAATCCAATAAGTACTTGTTTAAATGTATAATTCAAATTGACGGCTTGAGATAACATAGTGTTGGTCTGTACCAGTAGTTGTGGGGAGAGGGGTTGACTTCGGTAAGAATTAAGCAAGCAAGGTTGGAAAAGCTGCCAAATGAGCTAGTTTTGCAGAAAATGAGGATTCCGAAGTAAAATCTCATATCAACTAATTTCTCTCTCCCTAAACAAAATAGATTTCAGTCGGCTCGAGATATTCTCTCGCAATCATTTCATAGCTTCAGTGGTATTATTCAGTCAATTAATTTTTTTCACGTGTTAAAAAGATGAATCGCATATTTAATAAATAATTCTCACATAGTGAAATAGTTGTAAGAGACGAGAAATTTTTTATTGTGACAGGAACGTGGATGGTACATCACGTGTTTTCATATAAAAGGTGGAAATTTTTATTTTTTAAATTATTAATTTTTTAACACACATATTCCACCATTTGTATAATGACACGTAATGTACCATCTCGTGTCCCCGCCACATTGAAAAATCTCTCGTAAGAGAGAACCCCTGTCTCAGCTCAGCGTAATTCCGACAAGTTGCCCACGAATGCCTTACAACAATTTCAGCAACATCCAAATGCAAAACATGTGTCACGTAGCAGATACAGAACGCGAGACAACAGACAACCTAAATCAGCAGAGAAAACTAAGCTAAATATGAAAAACTTCACCCATACATAAATCATACTTCTCCCAAAACAACTAGAAAATCTGGCTGAAAGTCGTCAAGCAAAATTTGAAGCAACAAAGTAAAAGATAATGGGTAGTACACAATACCAAATTGATGGCCAAGTTACAAGGAATCACCGTCCTCTGGATATTGCTTCATCCAACTCATCATGCGTGGAGGGGAACAACTCTATGTATCGACTTCCAAGCGTCATCCTATCCTTGGCCATCGCTGCCTTGGAGTCTTCTGCACTTGCAAACTCCACAAAACCTTCCCCGGTCGGCCTCCCTTCTGAATTCATTGTGAAATGAATTGAGGATTCTGACAACACATAGTCCTTAAAGAAATCCATTATGTCATCCTTCCCAGCTGAAAATGGCAATCCCCTCAACCGCAATACCCCGGTATGCTCCGCTGAGTCCTTCCCTTCATCATAAGATTTGGCCCTTGGGGCATTTCTGCGAGGGGAACCTCCACGAGAATCAGATACTTCTTGAGCTATTGCCTTGTAATATTCCTGCCTCTTACTTCTGAACACTTCAACATATCTCCTGCCCATGTTCTGCCTATTCTTTTGTAGGGCAAAATCAACCTGGAGAGGATACCCCAAAACACAAAAAGCTTCCCCAGTGAACTTGCCATTCTTGTGGACAAAAAGAACATCAACAATGTCAAGACCATGGAAGAACTCAGCAACATCAACTTCTGTGCAATCAAATGGTAGACCACGAAGCTTGACAACAGGGAAAGGCGGAGGTTGTCCAACATATGCATAAGGAGTTGGATTGTACATATAACTTGAGCCGGGGGAGGTCCCATAGAATGAAGATCCTGGCTCACTTAGCCGCTGACGCTTTGAACCCATTTCGCGGCCATCACCACCATCAGCAAATTTACTTTAGTCCCCAGTGACAAAAGCAACAGAAAAGAGAAGCAAACTCATCAGTACTCTTAGCACATATTGTAAAGAATCACAACTAATTACAGAACTACATTAATATGCATTCCAATTTTCCAATAACGTTTCATTCAGTAACCATTTATGAGTGAAACAAGCAGAATCTTGGTGCACGAAGAAGAAAACGTACACCAATGACTCCTCCTAGTTTGGTACTTTTTTTTTTTTTCTTTCTAGAAAAGCATTTCTCATGCAATTTTCATTGAACCACAACTTTTAAATCACAAAATATATGACTTAGAACCTAGGACAATAGTAGTTGCATTAATATAGACTTCAAGATTAGGAATTCATTAGGTACTGTTTAAATCTTGGCACTTTCATGTTCTTTCCGTGGATGTGGGTAAATCAAGTCCCTACGTGCCATCTCTCTTTGTGTTTCTTCTTATACATCAATTGTTTAGAAACAAGAATATATGTGCTACTCCTACAGGGATATTATCGATACATATAGAATTATAGATGCCATCATTGACATCATTCCTGCATATCAAATTTCCATACAATGTGTATTATAGGTTGTCACATGATAACCACTATATAAAGCTCTGCCTTCACAAATTCCTCAGCTCCATGAGTGTTTGAAATAAGTCACTTAGTCATAAATACAAGTGTTCTAACAGTCAATAACCCAACTCGACTTCTTTACAATTACGTAAAATGACAGCTCGGACCACTTCTGATCATTCTAGAGGTGTATTTTGTACTGTTTCCTTGATTACAGCAACAATAATGTCACCAATATAAGCATATTATCGATTACTAGCTCCTATGATTCGGCCAAAAAGAAGCTAGCGAATTACAGTTCAGCATTACGTGACACGAAATAATGCAGCCCACAAACATTAAAAAATAGGTTGGTTTAATGTCATCCACAAATAACCCAATTTCGACACAACAAAACTGCTTACGTAACATTAGACTGAAGGTATGACAATTATCTTCCATTTCTTAATATGTATTGTACTATTCCTTGTAGAATAATAAAATTTTAAGGTTTTTCTAGTATCAGGATGAATTGGATTTTGTTTTTATAACGAATAAATAGTAATACATTTGGTTAGAAATATGTGAAACTTAGTTTTCAGTTTTTAATTCAAAATATATGTGGAGTCGTGGACTAACCCAAACACAACACCACTAATAAATGGGTGGTTAAGCCTTAAGTGTCAAGTCATTCCTCTCGATTAACAAAAGAGGTCGGATTAGGGACTAATAGTTAACAAGACATAACATGACAGGAAACAAACACCACCTTCTAACATCACTTGACAATGAAGTACATAAATTGACCCAAACACAGCATGATCAAGGAAAAGGTTGGGTTAAATGCCTAGTCACCTTAAAATGGTTAATAAGACCAATTGGGTGAGAGTTCTTACTAGTAAGCAACATGAACCTAAATGATACGATCATACGAGTAGAACAAGACATAAATACTACCCTTTGGGACTAAGGACCTTGTGCTACTAACTTACAAATTTTATAAGTTGGGAAACCCCTTAGGTGTAAAAATTATAAACTAAAGATAAATTTGCTCAGGAAAACCATATATGGTTGTTCACAAATATAGAAATAGGATTTTTCCCGACAAAACAAAGAAAACTCGTAAATACATTTGCATTATCCGCATCGAATCTCAGAATTTGGTTCATATATTTTTCTTCCATTACCCTAGACACCTACCATAAAGTTAAATCATCCTAGGTATTCAGCTACAGGTACTCGCTTAAGATATTAATGAGGTCAAACATTTTATTCAGGTCCTAAATAAACCTCTCGAAATTGTTTTAGTTTCGACTATAAGGTTTTGATGAACATACTTTCACATCCTAATTCTGCCTTTAAACGTGCGTCAATTTGAAAACAAGGGAAATAATCAATAGTTCCTCAAATAGAAAAAAGTTTCCTCAGCCCAAATAAAAGACAGGAAAAAAAAATTTAAGAGTCCATTTGATGAAAACAACATTATCCAATTACAAATTACCAGTAAGGATTTATTGGTGTAAGGGTTTTCGAATCATCGATGACTAGCTATAGACACTAAATTTGTTGAATTTTCTTCGAAATCGAGCATAGGTAGGCAAGCAAAACAAGCCCAAATAAAATTAGTTCTAATCAGATTATTTTACATTGTTCAACCCCAAATAATCCATAAAATTTCCGGAAAAATATGAACTTAAATTCTGGGCGTCATCTAATTTATATAATCCACAATTAACAAGAACATCAGAAAGAAATCGATCAACAAAGGCCATCGACAGAAATTAATAGAGAAAAAAGCACTTATATGGATTGAAATAACCTAAAGATAATGGAAAGATGAAGAAGGAAGAAATTGAAATAAAGGGTTAGAAGGAAGGAAAGGTGCGTTACCCTCTGTAGAACATGTTCCTTCGTAAGTTTGTCTTCTTCGTCGTCGTCTCTCTCTTAGCGGCGCCTGTGTAGCACGCGAAAGGAGAGCCTGTCCAACTCTCCCTAGCTCACATTCTTCACCTTTAAAAGGCTATTTATATTATTATTTTTTTAATTACAAGCAATATTATCGAGTGTTCCTTTGTTGGCACTCAAACTTGTAACGCTGCAAGCGGAGAGAAGCTACAGAGTTATTGTATGCTATCGTAGGTTTGAATTTTGTTGGTAATTAATTTAATATTTACATAATAATAAAATCTTATCTCATTAAGTAGGATCGATTGTAGAAATCTTAGAACGTCATTATGCGTATTCTGTGCCACGTTATCCGTTTAGATCCAAGTACTCAAAGTCCTTTTTTAGAGTCTCTTGCCAAGTTTTTTTAGGTCTTCCTCTACAGTCTACCCCTTCAACCTTGAACCTCTGTCTCGTAATCGCATCTTCTAACCGGAGCGTCTGTAGGCTTCGTTTCACATGTCCAAATCATCTTAACCGATTTTCTCTCATCTTACCTTCAATTTCGACTACTCCTACTTTACCTCAAATATCTTCATTCCTAATCCTAATCATTTTTCATGTGCCCACACATCCGACGAAGCATTCTCATTTCCGCTACACTCATTTGGGAAATTTGAAAAATACAACCAAATTTTAGGCTCTATATAGGGTTATAACCATCATTTTAATTTTATAATAATTACAACAAAAAACTTAATGTAAAAATACTAATATACCCTTAATATTAGGGTTCCTTGCAATAAACAAAACACAATCTTTGAACTACTTTAAAATGATGAATTAATGTCATATTTTTTATTTTCATTAGTCTCTATAATTTTTAAACTACTTTTTGCAACTTCCGGATTTTTGCAAAAGGATACAAAAGCCATATTTTTATGTTTGGCTGCACTTTCATTGTTCAATCACTTATCAATTTTAGAATCTTATTGGAGGTATCAAGATGCTTAACAATTTAATCCCGAAGGCTTTATTATTATTATTATTATTATTATTATTTGTTTTTAATTCATGCTTTTATTCTGATTTAAAGGTTGCAAACATTCAAATGTGTAGTTAAAGGTTTTAGACATCCGAAGGTAGTTTAAAGGTTACATAAAATAATGAAAAAAAAATGTTAGAGATTAATTACTAATTGATGTCAATTTGCCAAAAATAATGCAGGAATTCAAAAAACTCTCTCCATCTATATTCACATATGCAGTATTACTGGTTGTTGTGAGAAATCCTAATATTAAGTGTATATTAGTACTTTTACATCAAGTTTTGATTATACTTATCAATTAATTAAAGTGGTGGCTATAATTGTACATGAGATCCAAAAATTGGTTATTTTTCCAATTTTCCCCACTCACTTTGTATACTGATAGGAGCATATTCATGCGACTTAAATGGCTTGTTCTCGTGCATTTACGTTATGTTTCTTTAGTTATTTTAGTACTTTAAGCTATTTTCGTGTGTTTGTAGGTCCATAGGGCTAAAGGAGCAAAAAGATGCATTTTGGAGACTTTTGGAGCACTTTTGGGCTAAGGATGGATAGCTTATGCTTGGAGCCAAAGTGTTGGACGAAATTGAAGACCTAATTGAAGACCAAAGTGTTGGAACCTTGTTCTCTTTAGTTCTAGGACATTTAAACCTTTCCTATATCCATTGCACATGCATTCCTTTAATCCACATTCATCACCACTTCAACACATGCATCCATAATCATTTCTCCAACCTTGCCGTGCACATCATCATAAACAATCATGCACTCCACATGCATTTCCACCTTTACCAGACCCTAAACGTATCATCCACACAAATCTGCCATCCGTGCATCCCCTCACTAGGTAATCATTCAACATTTCAGAAATGAAGCCATTCCACATGCATATTCAACCTACCTGTCATTCCACTTCATTGCACATGCATCTTCATAAATCAACACATGCATTCACATGTTTTCACAACCTAATCCACATGCAATTGCATCACCCATTCACCACCAGAAATCACTCATTGCCGTGCACATTCACTCACCACAAACATTCCACATACAATCATCAACATATCTAGTTGTCACTCACATGCATTTCCTTCATCATTTCCAACCCATCTGTCCCTTTAATCATTCACACATACACCCATTCACTACCAAGAAATCATTCAACACATGCATCTTGGCAGATTTCATATGCACATTCAACATTCCAGAAATCCTCTCAAAACCGTGCATTATCCCTTTCATTTCTGTCAAAGCACATGCATTCCCTTCATAAATAATTCACATGCATTCATCATCATTACCCCTTTAATCCACATTCTTTCCCATTTCAGATTCACCACAGGAAAACACCGTCATTGCCGTGCCTAATTCCATGCATTTCATCCAATTTCATCCACATGCACACAAACAAAGTTCCTTGCCGTGCACATGCATTCCCTTCCATTTTCTGCTTGCATTTCCATCTTTGCACATGCATATATTCCTCCTCCTAGCTGTCATGTCCCCCCCATTTTACCTATAAATAAGCATCCATTGCATTCATTCTCATTCACTCTCATTCATACACATTTTAGTCACAAACTCTTCCATTTTCAGAATGTAGACATCAAACCACAACACCTTGCCGTGCTCTCCCTTACAATCCAAACACCATTCTTCCATTCCTCCACCACTCCCCAAACCATTCACACCATCAAAACATGTCCTTAGACCTTGTGCCACAACGAAGAGGAAGAGAAGAGTGCCTAAACGTTCATACAATTCAAGTTTGAGTTGTTGGAATGTTTGGGTGTTTCTTTGATTTCAATGTTTAAATTCAATTCTCTTTGTTTTGTATGTTTGAGGAATGGATGAAAAGAGTGCTTAAACGTTCATACAATTCAAATTTGAGTTGTTGGAATGTTTGAGTGTTTCTTTGATTTCAATGTTATAAAGAACTAAATCCCCCTTTGGCTAGGGGTGGTTTCGATGTAGCCTTGCAAGATTGCCATGTAGTTAATTCAGAATTCTCATTCAGTCTATCTATTTCTTGTTTCATTCTCCGATTTAATTGTGACTTAGTGTGTTGATTTTAATGCTTGATCATCATTTGAATTAACCACAGGTTGTTTAGCCAAGATTAAAGCACACATCATGCATAATCTTGGTGGATATGTGAATGAATGAAGGGAATGTTTTGCAAACATCCTGCCGAGTGTTCCCTTTGGTTTTATGAAAGTTTCTTGTGCACTACATATTCTTGATTAGGAACCAAAGTTGCACATCACAATTAGGTTCATGATTAGAGACATTTGATCAAATCCACACATCATATGGTTGATCATATCTAAGTGAAACAAACTCAAGAAATAGGTAGATGACTGAGTATAAACTGATTTAACAAAAATGGACTTGGTTTAGCAATGGTGAAATCAAATCCCTAGCTTCATCTCCATTGATACTATCTCATTTTATTAGTTGTTGATTCATTTATTTGTGTTTACTTCATTTCCTTATGCTTTTAAGTTACAACAACAAATCTGCCTACATTGATTAGTTTTATTTCTCTAGTAAAGAGTTCTTGCAAAACAAGTAATTATATAGGTCCAATTAGTCCCTGTGGATTCGATTATATGCATATGTTCATGTGTGGATAAGGAACCCACTAACTAGTTTCTCATCATTCTTCGTTTTACAATCTATTTTGTTCCCAAGTATTTGTTTTGTTTTCAATTTCATCCAAAACCAATCCCCCTTTTCTTTGTTAAGTCATTTTAGTTAGAAATCAATTTAGTTTGTGTTTTTAAAGCATTTTGAGTCTTTGATTTGTTTTAATGTTTTAAAGTTTAGTTTTGCATTCTTTGAGTCTAGTATAGTGTTTTATATTATGTTTTTACGTTTTTGAGTCAAACCCAAGTGATTAACAATCCCTCCTAATCCCCGGTCCAGAACGATCCCTACTTACATCATTACTACAATTGTCAAAAAGAGGGTTTAATTTGTGCGCATATAATTATCGCATCATATACGTGTTGATGCTTCACCGCCAAACATTCAGTGCCATAAAGCATTGCTAGCCTTATTGCCGTCCTATAAAAAATTTCCCTTGGACGTTAGTGGCATACGACGGTCGCACAGTACACTTGATGCGCTCTTGCACTTCATCCATCCAACTTGTATTTATGGTTGAGGTCTCCATCCAATTCTCTGTTCTTTTGCAAGATAGATCCTAAGTAGTGAAAATAGTCGCTCTTTGATACTTCCTGATCTCCAATCCTCACCCCTAACTCATTTGAACCTCCATTCGCACTGAACTTGCACTCCTTATACTTTGTCATTGACTAACTTGGGCGAAGACCTTTAGATTCCAACACTTCTCTCCAAAGGTTAAGCTTCTCATTTACTCATTCTTGAGTTTCATCAATATTATATCTTCTGCGAAAAACATACACCAAGGTAAGGCTAATCTAACAAAATCTATCGTTTGACCAAAAAAAAAAAAAAATTACTAAGTTAAGTTCACCCAATTAAAATTTTAATTTTAAGTTCACCCAACTAATAAAAATCATCTCTTCTACACCCATCTTCATCATCTCTCTTAGCAGCTGATGTGGTAAAAGCTAACACACAAATTAAACTTGTAAATGATGTAATTGTAGTATGAATAAGTAGGAATCTTTCTATTCCGGATATTATAAAGGATGCTAATCAATACAAACTAAACTAATAAAACTAAAACTAAGTTAAACTAACAATGAAACAATGAATGGGGGATTTTGAACGAATTTAATTAAAATTAAAATAAAAGTAAATGGCAGCAAGTAAGTTAAGTTGTGAATAAAATACGGAAGAAATGATAGCTAAAGGATTATTCTCCTCACATGAAACATGTGTATACAAATCAATTTTCAGTTATTCTTCCTATAAACGAGAATGACAATACCCTAAATTAAATGTGGAAAACACTAAATAACTCTCAGATTTTCCTAAGTTCATTGAATTGGACTTAGCGACACAACCAAATTATTCTTCTCAAGTTCCCTAACTATCAAAAGCATGATAGAGATACATCTCGAAGATCATTAAGTTCTGTGAAAATTATAAGCATTGACGAAACATTTGTACCTATGA